GCTGGGTTTCCAGATACATGTCTGTCTGAGCCTGAAGGAAAAGTAAGGTGCTTTGGTTTGTTATTTATGTGAAAATTACCAAATTAAACAGGATCATTCTCATATTCAGATCTTTACAGCTAGTTTTGGATGCTTACGGCAGTCACCCGACCAAACTGACCAAAAAGGATGTAATCTCACAATTACAGATGTTGGAAATTAATGACCCTTTTTGGTGATCATTTTTTTTTTTTAAGCACAGTATATGAAGTGGCTCTGTTATGGCTACAATGGCTATAAACCTGTAGGATTTCTAGAAAAAACCCTACTCATGTTGGGCAAATGAGTACTAGTCTCAGCGACAGACAGCATCATCCTTAGAGTCCAAAATGCTCTTTCTCAGACAACTTAGACAGAAGTGAAGTTGATGGGCTCTTGCAAACCATGTTAGGTGACCCCCAGAGTGGCTCTAAAGGTGCGGGCAATGAGTATGAATGAAATTGTTTCATGAAGTGAGTGGGAAAATGCAGCATTTCTAAACAAATATTTTATACTAGAGGCCTGGTGCATGAAATGCGTGCACGGGGGTGGGGGGGGACCCTCAGCCCAGCCTGCACCCTCTCGCAGTCTGGGACCCTCCGCTCCTTACCCCTTGGCTCACTGCTCCTCATCACTGCCGCTGTGCTTGCCAGCCATGAGCCTGGCTTCTGGCTGAGTAGCACTCCCCCTGTGGGAGCACACTGACTACCAGGGGGCAGCTCCTGCATTGTCTGCCCCCTGGTGGTCAGTGCGCATCATAGCAACTGGTTGTTCTTATTCCGCTGTAACAGTCGCTTAGGCTTTTATTGTATAGACTAGAGACCCAATGCACAAAATTTGCGCAAGGGGACCTGACCCCCCACCGCTGCGGCAGTTGCCTCTGCCTCCATCCACCTCGGTTTCATCCGGAAGGTCATCTGGAAGGATGTTCAGTCTAATTAGCATACATTATGCTTTTATTATTATATATGTGACTTGAAGAGTGTATAAATAACTTGACAACTATAATTGGTGGGTGTTTGACTATTTAATGTATACTTCTAAAAGTTGAATTCAAGCCATTATTTTTGGATCATCACATTGGAAAAAAATGGGAGAATTGCCCTATATCAGGGCATATATGGTAAACATTCCTCTCGTTTTGGGCCTCCAGAGGGCAATATTCTGTTAATGATTGTGGCTGGTCTGCTCCCCGCCCCTCCCTCCCCCCAGTGTCAGAGGAGCAGTGAGAGGAACCTTCTGGATCACTGAATCTGGTACTTTTTTCAGATTTTGGAGGCAACATCAACGTGGAGACCATCAGTACCTTTATTGACGGTGGAGGCAGTGTCCTGGTAGCTGCCAGCTCAGACATTGGTAGGTCTGATCTCAGAAGTTCTGCTGCTTCCCCCATTTGTCCAGGAAGCTTGGAGGGCTTTACAAATGGAAGCTGCCAAATTGTCCTTCATTGGGTGGTCCTTGCCAGGGAGTGAGTGTGGGAACTACAGAGCCATTTAGTCCCTCCTGGCCTATGACCAGAACCAATGAGATGCGGGTCTTTTTAAGGGCTGGGAACCCTGTTTTTTTCTCTGTTTTTGGCCCCCCCCCCCTTGTTTTGTGGTGATTCTTTGCTTAAAAAGAGGAGACAAGTAGGGAGAACCTAACTGGGTAGAACACAAAGCAAATTTTTGTTTTACTGTTTTGGAAAATTTTAAAGATACTTAGAAGTAGGAGGAACCATGAACAACACCTGGCCAATCTTGTTTCACCTTTTTCAGTATTGACAGCTTTTAACACGTTAAGCACCATGTCAGTCACCGGTGACTGACACTCGACTTTCCGTCCGGACTGGTCAGTCACTGGTGCCACCAGCATATCGGTGAAATTGGGTATCTCGGTGAAATTGGGTATCGTGGACTAAACAGAAAGGAAGACAAAACAGGCTTGGCGCTTAACGTGTTAACCCTTTGCGGTCCAATTTTATTTTTGGAATTCAAACAGTCTGGTCCAAATTAATTGACGGGATTGAATGTTGAACCGGTTTGCGGTGTCGACCTCAGCCTCGACATTGGACCTGCTCCTAGCGCCTGGTCTGTCGAGTCAGCCTTGACATTGGACCGAAAAGGGTTAAGAACCACATTGGGTGGTGGTTTGGTGAAGTGGTGATGAGGAAGAGAGAAACCTTCTAAGCCGGGGCTCATCCAGGCCAGGTTTGCTGAGGTGGTACTTTGCTTCAAAGGGGGGTCTTGTGCAGAACCAAGGTCACTGTATTTGTGGAGGGAGAGGTCAGGTGTTTGTTGTTGATTTTTACCACGCTGTCGTCCAGGGATCCAGCTGGTGACGCTGCAGGGCCCTGGGGATGACTGAGAGAGTGAATCATAAGGATGCCAGGGCAAGTGACATAGCTTGGCCCAGGCCCACCCCTAAGGGCTCAGCCAGGCATCTGTTGGGTCTGTGCAGGTGACCCTCTTCGCGAGCTGGGCAGTGAGTGTGGGATTGAGTTCGATGAGGAGAAAACAGCTGTCATTGACCATCACAACTACGACATCTCAGACCTTGGCCAGGTAATCAGACCGTCACCTTCCAGGTTTCAGTCCCTTGTAGCAAAGCTCACCCTAGTAACCGTGCGGGAGTCGGGCGGGACCCCTGGCTTGGGGGCACCTTTCCGACCACCGGCCTCCCCTCTGCTGTTGCAGCATACGCTCATTGTGGCCGACACCGAGAACCTGCTGAAGGCCCCGACCATTGTTGGGAAGTCGTCTCTAAATCCCATCCTCTTTCGAGGTGTTGGGTGAGTGAGCAAGGAGAGGCCAACGCAAACCTGGGGGAAGGGGTCACTTTGTTTTGTCAGGAAACCTACCAGACTTGGGATTATTTGGGTTATTCCTTCCTCCAGAAGATGCAGGTGGGATTAAGTCATAACGGAAGAGTCAAAACTTTGTAGTTACGGCAAGAGGAGAGCTAAGTGTTTGCCAGTTAAAGGAAGTAGGATTCACTCCTGTGAAGAGATGGCCCTTAGGGGTCCCCAGGTCCTTGGGGCTCAGTTCTTGGGTCTGAATTGGGTGGTTCTCTTCCTTCCCCAGGATGGTGGCTGATCCTGACAATCCTTTGGTGTTGGACATCCTGACAGGCTCTTCCACCTCGTACTCCTTCTTCCCAGATAAACCTATCACCCAGGTGAGGGGCCTTTGCAGCCTCGAGACCCCATCTCCTGGGCCTGGTACAAAGCGCTTTTTTATTGGAGAGGAGACCTAAGCAGGAAAGCACACGCTGCCGAGGCCGGTGAAACGAGAAGCGGGGGAGCGGGGAGCGGGCAGAGTGGTGTCTCAGGTAGGGCCTAGGTTGTTCAGGTCTAGCCTGTGGTCCTCTTGCGCTAGGGGCCCATCGGCGGTCCTTTGCCCTGGCTCTTGGGGATGACAGCCTCTGTTGCTCCTAGTACCCCCATGCAGTGGGGAAGAACACCCTCCTGATTGCTGGGCTCCAGGCCAGGAACAACGCCCGGGTCATCTTCAGCGGTTCCCTCGACTTCTTCAGCGATGCCTTCTTCAACTCGGCAGTGCAGAAGGCCATGCCCGGCTCCCAGAGGTAGATGCCAGGGGACTTAGAGGCCTGTGGTCTGGGTGATGGGGTCTGTGCAGAGGGGAGGACTCTGATGGGGTGGAAGAAGCCTTTTGGCTAACAGTGTCAGAGGCTAAGTATCTTTAGGTGCGTTAAAATTATTGAAGGATTTGACTGTTGCTATATTGGTCGGGCTGGCACTCCAAGCTAGTTATGCCTCTCTGGAGCACTTTGAAAATTGTGTGCTTATTGTACAGGTAACACCCAAAGCCGTGCCCCTCCCATCTTTTCATTTCTGTGTTCCCACTGGGAAGGAGTTGGTTCTGGTGCTGCAGCCTCTACTGTTTCCCCTCCTGCAGGTATTCCCAGACGGGCAACTATGAGCTAGCTCTGGCCCTCTCCCGCTGGGTGTTCAAAGAAGAGGGTGTCCTCCGTGTGGGGCCTGTGTCCCACCACCGGGTGGGCGAGACAGCCCCACCCAATGCCTACACTGTCACTGACCTGGTGGTAAGAGCTTGGAGTGAGCTGGCCATGTTGACCCAGCTCAAAAGCATTTCTGTGTTGGGCCTACGTATGGGTGACCACGTTAACCTCTGCCCTGAAGAAAGTCAGTTTGGGTGCAGAGAAACCGAGATCTTGAGGGTGACCTTGTGGGAAGTGCAGAAGCGGGAGGGGCTTCTCTGACTCACTCTGCCGACAGTGGGGATCACAAGAGAAGTGCGGTTAGAGTCGGGTGTGCGGCAAGAGAAGTGGGGAAAGGCAACAGAGCAGTGAGTGGAAGCAGGGATGCCCGAGAGTACCCCCCGCCCCCCGTGGAGCGCAGTTTGGGTGCAGGCTTCCACCAGCCTGTGAACAGGTGTGGATGGGAGTTAGAGGGGTTAGCCTGCCAGGTGGTATTTCAGTTACTGCCCGGGGTGGGGCTTGCCCAGGTTTTCACAGCTCCTGGGAGTTCCTGCCAGATTTGAGTAGCTCTGAGGGTGGCAGCCTCCCTCCAGTCACAGGCCCCTGGCTCACTGGCCTTTTCTCGCAGGAGTACAGCATCGTGATCGAGCAGCTCTCTAATGGCCAGTGGGTCCCCTTTGATGGTGACGACATTCAGCTGGAGTTTGTCCGCATCGATCCTTTTGTGAGGACCTTCCTGAAGAAGAAAGGTAAAAGCGGTTCTCCCAGGAGCTGCAGGAAGACAGTCCCCGCCTGTGGCTCACTGTCGGGAGGCTAACCGAGCAGCGCTCTGGGAACCCCTCCTGGTTACGTGTTGATCTTCCCCAGGTGGCAAGTACAGTGTCCAGTTCAAGTTGCCGGACGTGTACGGTGTGTTCCAGTTTAAAGTGGACTACAACCGGCTGGGCTACACACACTTGTACTCGTCCACTCAGGTAAGCACAGGCCACACAGCCCATTGCAGCCAGCGTGTCCCACCGGGCTTCCGAGAGGCCGGGCCTGTCACTCTGTCCTGTTGCAGGTGTCAGTGAGGCCACTGCAGCACACGCAGTATGAGCGCTTCATCCCCTCAGCCTATCCCTACTACGCCAGCGCCTTCTCCATGATGGCAGGACTCTTCATCTTCAGCATCGTCTTCTTACACATGAAGGAGAAGGAGAAGTCTGACTGAGGGCCTTGGGACTCCTTACAGCATGGAGACACGGAGGGTTTTTAATAGGATTGGATTAATAGGATTTAATAGGATTGGATTTTTTCCCCCTTTTTTATTTTTATTTTTTTAAAGCCATGGGACAGTGGCATAACCTTACCTCAATGGGAGATGTAGCACTGAGTACAAAAGGAGTGGGGGTCCAGGGATGGTTTTTATGTAAGTTTTTCCATCTCGTGCTGAGTGGTATTTCTCAAATGTGCAGCTACTCTCATTTCTAAAATAAATAGAAACATTACCCTCAAACTTCATCTGGCTCCCACTGTACTTTGCTAAAGAGGTAATGACTGGACACAAAACACTAAGTGGCCTCTCTTAATTTTGCCGAAGACTAGACTGTACTTTATGAAATGATAGTGTTTCCAAACTTCTCAAGGGATAAAATAAGGCTAATACACTGAGGCCAGTGGGGAATCGCTGAGATGGGAATCTAAGGTAACAGCACTGCCTTTATAACAGACACAGAATTGTTTGGTTTTCGTAAGAACCTTAAATATGTGTTCACTTGCTTTAGGCCAGCGGTCACCAACCTTTCGGACCTCACGGACCACGAATGGTCTGCGGACCACCGGTTGGCGACCGCTGCGTTAGGCAATAGCCATATTCCTAAAGAGCATGTGCAAAATTATATGCGAAATCCCTTCCATTGTTGATCTCTGCCCACAAAATTCTTTTCTTTATGGTATAAGAATCAGTCTTAAAGCCAAATAGTCCAAGGCACATACATATTCTGCAGTTGTAAATACGCATTTAATTCTTCACAATTCCTGTAAGAAATGCCAGTCAGGAGGAAACCGGCAAGTTTAAAACACCATGCTGTTAACTCCCATTCCATTGGTCATTTTAGCTCTGCTAGACTCAATGCAGTAGCTGGAGTGCACAGGCTCTCGTTTCCCAGGCCTGCATGTTTTTCATTCTGGTATCAATATACTGACCTGTGCAAACGCTTGCCTTAGCTCAGGCAGCATGCCGCTGACAGCGATGCCTTGGCCTGGATCCTCTATAAAGTGGCGTGCAGGTCCACCCCTCCCCAGCCCAGCCTCATTTAACAGCCCAGCCATCTACTCTTCAGAGGTCTGTGAAGACAGAACATGAGCGTAAGGTAGGGCTCTGTGGTCAGCAGTTAACACCTGAGTGTATCTTCTCACCTTTGTAGGCTAAGATCTTACCACAATTTTAGCATCCATACACATAGGGGCCGATTAGTGCTTTTTTTTAGAGTTAGGCCCTTTGACTTCATCTAGACCAGGGGGTTGGCAAACTATGGCCTATGGGCCAATCCAGCCTGCTGCCTATTTTTGTATGACCTGCAAGCAAAAAATAATTTTAAGAACCATTTAAAAACATAAAAAACAAGACTATTTAAGTGATACATGAAATTCAGTGTCCATAAATAAAGCTTTACTATTGGCACGCAGCCACACCTGTTTGTTTCCATATTTAAGACTGCTTTTGTGCCACAACAGCAGAGTTGAGTAGCTGCAGCAGCCTGGGTGTTTACTATGGGGCCCTCTATAGGAAAAGTAAGAGAAATGTACGTAGATGCACCACAATCGCACAGCTAGAGTTAATAGCTACAGACCGTGAACCTCACTCGTTCCTCCCATTTGCCAAACCAGATGCCTTCTTTTCCACTGACCAGCCCTCTCTGTGCCATCTTTTCTCCTGACTCTCCCCTCACACCTCAGACCCCCCGCCCCCTTCAGCATTCACAGACCATCACGACATAGATGCTGCAAGTTCTTTTAGTAATTCACCAGCTACAGCAGCCTTCATGGGGCTGCCCTCCAAGAGTAGAGGAGGAGGGCTGCTTGGCACAGCGCCTCATATTCCAGGTTGGCCAGAAATAACATCTTCATTTTTGTTTCCACACAGCTCTTCTCTGTAAGCCTGTCGGCCAACAGAGTGGCTGCTGATTGTTGGAGGAGCCAGCCAATCATCTTGTCTAGTTTCAGATTCTTCAGAGCTAGAGTTTGTTCACCCCAGAGGCTTAAATGAAGCACATTAGCAGCTACTCGGGCAGATGGTCTCTGCAACAGGAAGGGAAGCTGAGGCTTAGGACATCTGTGACAAAGTGTTCAGCCCACAACCCTCTTCGGTAAGGAATCCTCATTTCAGGTTCTTCCCTCCCCTGGTCCCAACCAAATTCTTCTCCGCCCGTCTCTCCCCTACCATTCACTTTCCTGACATATTGGCTGCTTTCTACCCATGCTCCAGGCTTTCCCATGTTTACAAGTTTGCCTGGGGGCAGTGTGCTCCCAGTGGGCCTCCCCATCACAGAGGGCCCACAAACTGCCTCCTGCTAGGAGCACTGTCTGGAGTTGTATCTCATAGTAACTGGTAGCAGAAAGCATTACTGTGACCATGACAGCACACTGTGCAAGATGGGAGGGAAGTGGAAGAACAGAATTTGAACCCTGGTCTGCCTCTGCTCTGTTCACTAAGCATGCCACCTGAACCAGACCTGCCACTCCAACCGTGTGGCCTCTCCTGTGTTAGCCTTTAGATTCCTTATAGCAGTGGTCGGCAAACTCATTAGTCAACAGAGCCAAATATCAACAGCACAACGATTGAAATTTCTTTTGAGAGCCAAGTTTTTTAAACTTAAACTATATAGGTAGGTACACTGTTAATTAGGGTACTCATAAGGCTTAGGAAGAGCCACACTCAAGGGGCCAAAGAGCCGCATGTGGCTCCACGGACTTATAGTAACTTCAGAATGTCCAGATCTGCTCTCATACATGTCTTTACATCTACTGTCTCATTAGATCTACTGTCTCATTAGATCTCAGCCATTTCCATAAACTACATCTCCAACAGACATTTCTTAAAAATGCATCTTTCTCCCTCTGAGTAACGTAAGCAACTAAAGCCAAGAAGAGCTGACCTGCTGGGATTCTAATTTGGTGGCTAGTTCCCCTACTCCAATTCATACTAAACTCTGTTTTGCTCTCCTGTACTTGGTTTTTAAATCTTTGTAAGGCAGAAGAGTTGTTGGTCACTCTACATCAGGGGTGGGGAACCTTTTTTCTTCCAAGGGCCATTTGGATATTTTTATAACATCATTCTCAGGCTACACAAATTACCTTAAAAATGAGCCTGCTATATTTACTTGGCTAACATTTAATGAACTCACCCCGAATGCCTTGGCAAGGACAGTCCAAATGATGTTGCGAGCTGTGTGCCCGTGAGGCAGATGTTCCCGACCCCTGCTCTAGTGCTTGCCCAGCGCTGATCTTTACTCTGAGGTTTCTACCTGCAAATTCCCTGCAAAACCTGGGGATGGCCTCACCTTGCTGGCCTTCCGCTGCAGCAGTGATCTCACCAGCTGTCTCGCATCTAGAGGCACCGACTCGGGCAGTGTAGGCAGCTGAGTCTCTTGGTAGCTTCGGCTTTCAAGGTAGACTCCACCCTCGCCGTAAAAAGGATTGGGGAGCCCGAAGATTTCATAGGCGAGTGCTCCCACTGCCCAGGCATCAGCCTTGCTGTAGTCGATCACCACCCTGGGGCCAGGGCAGGCTGTGGACACCTGCTCAGAAAGCAATGGATGAGCAATCATGTTGCTGGTATTTCTAAGCTTCTAAGCTACTCATGCCACCTGATTCATGGGCTAATCTGAACTCTGTCCTAAGGAACCTAGAATTTTATTGAGTTGTAGCTCAGACCCAGAAGAATCTGTCTATGCTGTCGACTTTGTGCTGACAAAACATGCATCTCCCAGGAACACTGGGGAGATCCAGACTAAAGCAAAGTGGCAGGGAAGGGACTGGTGCCAAATCATGGGTCATGAAAGCTGGAGGAGCTGAGAAAATGATGAGGCATGAAGTCTTGTTCTATCAGTGGAAACACCAGAGTTGCTGATGGCGCATGACATCTCAGCAGGACTCACCTCAGGAGCCATCAGGCAGCCGTTTCCGCCCCGATCCACATCCCAGCTGGTGAACGGCAACTGCAGGCCGATGCGTTCATCAGCCAGGCAGCAACCAAAATCCGAGATTACCAGCCAGGGGCAGCCGTCTGGGGAAGGGACAGGGGGTAAGCAACTGCTTCTCCATCTTTCCTCTGAGAGGCCCTCCTAGGAACCTACTAAAGCCACCATCAAGACGTAGGGGAGAGGGGCTAACAGGGACTCAGGGTTGGTACAGGAGAGCAGAGAGCCAAATGGGAAGGCCAGCAATACAGAAGTGCCTCTAGAAAATAAAGGCTCCCTGACAAAGCCCTCAAACAAAGAACTGGATAAAAGTTTGGATCAATCTAGGTTGGCCGGTGTTCTCAGTGGTTATAGAGTGTTGGCCCATACACCTTTAAAGGGTGCCAGGTTCGATTTCTGGTCAAAGGCAACCAATTGATGTGTCTCTCTCACATCAATGTTTCTCTTTCTCTCTCCCCTCCCCTCTCTCTCTAAAAATCAGTGGAAAAAATATCCTCAAGTGAGGATTAACAGCAGAAAAGTTTGGATCAGTCTAAATAATGAAGTCATTGGACCTGTCCCAAGGCTGAAGGACTGCTCATAATTTACCTAACAGATGGTGCTTGGCTCAAATGACCTCGAAGAGCCCTTATTTGAACCTGAAAACCCAAATCCACACCTAAGAATCGGGTGCATTAGGAATTCGTTATTTGTAAAAGTATTCACACAGACTTCCTTTAAGAAGCCAGTTCCTCTAGTAATTTAACTGCATGTTTACTTATTTTAAATCTAGATCAAAAGTGATCAGATATATGAACTACTTTACAGTATCCCCAAACAATTAACCATCCACCTTCTACTTGAATGCTTCCAGTGATGGGAACTCATTATTTCCAGAGGCAACTGGGCTTACATTTGGACAGCTTTCAGTTTGAAAATTCTTTCTTATAGTGAGCTAAAGTCTACCTCTTTTACTTTAATCAAGAAAACTTCCATCACTAGGGTTGTTCTGTACATGGGCAACAGAAAGGAACTTGGGAATGTTAATCACTCCACAAATCCCATGGAGAACGAAAGCTTCCACTTTGAAGGACAGATTGCTCATGTCTTGTGTACAGAGCTAAATATAGATACAACTTATAATAGGACATAAAAACCAAAGAGGACCTATGTCCCCAGGCCCCTGGAAAGCTCTGCGGTGTGGGCGGGCACCTACCTGCATCCAACTCCACAAGTATGTTGTCAGACTTTAGGTCCCTGTGTGCGACGCCCTGTTGAACCAGATGATCAACTCCTTCCAAGAGCTGCAACATCATCACAGTGGCGAGGCGGGGGCTTGGGGTGTTCTCTCGAAGGTACTGGCGCAGGGTACAGGGGTAGCTGGTGGAGAAGGTGACGGAATCTCTATCATGCACTGACACTTGCTAGCGTCTTATTTATTACTAGGATGATGGGCTTCCCTCTTTTATCTGGAGCTTTTTGATTTCTTTTTGCCCCAAGTATCCTTTGTTCCCACCCACTATCCTGAAATTAGGAAGAGCCAGGCCTCACATGTTAATAGTACAGATCTCATTTCCTTAAAATGTCCATGGCTGCAATGTTAAGGGGTGCAGAGGGGGAGAAGAACTGTGTATGTTAAAAAACAAACAGCCCTAGCTGGTTGGGTTCAAGTCAGACTGCTGACTGAAGGGTCCCGGGTTTAATTCCAGTCAAGGGCACATGCCCAGGTTGCAGGCTCGATCCCCAGTGTGGGGCATGTGGGAGGCAGCCGACCAATGAATTTTAACTCATCGTTGATATTTCTATCTCCCTCCCTCTCTAAAATCAATAAAAACATACATCTATACTAATAATAGAGGAATATGCAAATTGCCCGGGATGCTGTCACAGTAACAACCAAACAGCAGGCTGTGTGGGGCGAGCAGGCCGGCAGGGGGGGTAGTAAGGGTCGATCAGGTTGGCAGGCAGAGGTGGTTAGGGGTGATCAGGCTGGCAAGGGGGGCAGTTAGGGGCGATCAGGCCAGCAGGCAGGTGAGCAGTTAGGAGTCAGCGGTCCCAGATTGTGAGAGGGATGTCTGACTGCCAGTTTAGGCCTGATCCTAAACTGGCAGTTGGACATCCCTGAGGGGTCCTGGATTGGAGACGGTGCAGGCTGGGCTGAGGGCCCGTTCCCACCCCCCCCACCCCCCCTGCACAAGTTTTGTACACTGGGCCTCAAGTCTATAATAATAATAGCATAATATGCTAATTAGACCGGATGTCCTTCCGGACAAAGCCGGGGCTGCAAGGGAAGCCCGGGTCCTGGGTGCCTGCCAGCAGCCGGAAGGAAGCCCGGGTCCTGGGCGCCAAAGGGAAGCCTGTGCCGACAGCCGGGGAAGGAAGGCTTACTCTTGCATGAATTTCATGCATTGGGCCTCTAGTATTTTACATAAAAGCACAAGGTGAAAAGTTTGTTCTAAATGAAGAGATTCTGTTTATGGAAACTTGCCCTTGGCATGGCCTTATCTCCCAAAGGATGAGGATCCTCTTCCCTGTGACCCTGGACTCCAGGTACAGAGGCAGGGAACAGCTCCCACTCACTCCAGGTCCTGCCATACTCCTGCCACTTACTTCTTCATAACGAGGAAAAGTGTCCGGCCGTGGCCCACGCCTTCAGGGTAAAGACGTGGGGGCAGCACATCTGGGTAGTCGACCAGGGCCCCTGGCAGCAGTGGGACTGACGATGTGAAGGCGCGGAAGACCCGGATGATGTTAGGGTGAGGAGCCAGTTGCTTCGGACCTCCCTTAGATTTTCTGTTTCAGTCAAAAGGGACAAACGTATGAGGCCAGTAACAGGTAACAAGAGTTGGAAAGATAATCTAAGGCCACAGTAAATACTGCCATTCATTTATTCATCATTTATATCAAACATTTACTATAGATCTGCTATGTTCCAGATGCAGAGCCTGGTGTTAGAGAAAAAAACCATTAAGATGATGCATCACATTTGATGAGCCCTGAGAAAAGCCAGTCCTTCTTCCCATCCATCCTTTCGTCCATCCATCATCCCATGTGGCAGATAGCGGTTAAGAGCACCTGGAATCAGACTAGATGCCTGAGTTTGGACTCCAGGTCTGCCACTGTACGTCCTTGGCCAAGTTACTTAACTTCTCTGGGCTCAGTCTCAAGTGCAGGGAAAAAGGTAGTAACATACCTCATGAGGTTGATAATACTTGTAAAGAAAGGACTAGAATCTCTGTGATTCCAAGTTCTTGCAATAACACTTTGTGTGGAGTATGAGCTCAATAAACCTTTGTTGAATGAATGAATGGATTCAGACAGTTGGGAGTAGAGCTGTCACCTGCCTACCCTCCCCACCCTCTTTCTCCAGGAGCTTCACACTCACAGCATCAACCAAAGACGACTGCAACACATCTGAGACACATCTGAGATCCAAATGGCTGACAGGCAAAGGGAAGGGGCTAGGTAGAATCTCTCTGAGGGTACGAATGCAATGGAGCTGGTGAAAGGATGACATGAGATTTGCTTGGGCCACTGGAAGCCAAGGAGGTGTGCAAGCCAAAGGCAGGCAGGAACAGAAGAGCCAAGGGGTAAGAAATAAGGACACCAGGTGCAGAGGAGAATGGAATAGAGCCCACAGACATCACAGCTCAAGGCTGTCAGTGCCACATGGGAAAGCTCTGCCAGCTGTCACGGGAGTCCAGAGAAGAGTGTGGCTATGCTGGGGAGGCATGTGCATGTGGGTGTTGGAGCAGGACAGGAGGCTGTGGGGAGGGCAGCCCAGTATAGCTAACTGCATGCAGAGGCAGAATAGTCATGGAGGAGCTTGGTGCCTTGGGGAGGGCAGTAGGAATTCAGTATGGTGGAGCGTAGCCTGTAAATGGGACAAGATCAGAAATCGGGGGTCCTAGCCGATTTGGCTCAGTGGCTAGAGCATTGGCCTGTGGACTCAAGGGTCCCAGGTTCGATTCTGTTCAAGGGCACATGCCCAGGTTGTGGGCATGCAGGAGGCAGCAAATCAATGATTCTCTCTCATCACTGATGTTTCTAGCTCCCGCTCTCCCTTTCTCTCTGAAATCAATACAAGTATATTTAAAAAAACAACGAAATCGTGGGGAGTGGGGTAATGGGAGAGAGGGGGAAGGAACATATGTAATAACTTTCAACAATAAATATTAAAAAAAAGAGAAATCAGGTGGGAGAAGTAAAGAGGAGCAGATGCAAAGGGCCAAATCTGAGATCCCTAGATGAGCAAAGGCTCCGTAGCATACACCCAGGGTGCTCTCAGGGAAGAGTTTCTCCTGAGACCGTGTTCGATGTCACCTGTACTTTAGTAACAGACCTTCGGCCATATTCACCTAACCATTCAGCAGACACTCACTGAGCTGTGGGGGAACGCAGGAAACAAAACTTGGAAGTCCTGGCCCCAGAGAGCACCTAGCACAGCTGAAGAGACTGGGAATAAGTAGACACCCTCCTCTATGATTTACAGTCGGATGGTGATAACTGCAATGAAAAGAAACTAAGGCGCGGTAAAGGACTGAGAGCGGCGGGGACTATTTCAGACGAGAAGTCTGGGCAGGACTCTGCGGCAGGGACATCTTAGTGCTCACAGCGCCGTGACAGCACCCTGTCAGCAGGCTGAAGCTGACACCACAATATCAGCCCCCAAAAGCAGCTGACATTCAGTGGTCCACTTTTTCCTACACAGGAATCAGGAGAGGAGGACAGTGCTGAGTCCACAGACCTGCCGGACCCGCAGTTATACTGGCGCCTTTCAAGCAATGCAAGTGGTTTCCCATGTACATTCCCTTAAGTCCCTATTTCTACCTTCCTGCTTCTGACAGAACTAGATCAATAAATCAATCCTCTAGTACCGTGGTCGGCAAACTGCGGCTTGCGAGCCACATGCGGCTCTTTGACCCCTTGAGTGTGGCTCTTCCACAAAATACCACGTTAAACTTCCTGGCCCATGCGCAGAAGTTGGTTTTCAGCCTGGGTGAGTCTATTTTGAAGAAGTACTGTTGATATTTGGCTCTGTTGACTAATGAGTTTGCCGACCACTGCTCTAGTAAATCACTCAAAATGCAGCAGGCCCACCTCCTCCTGGTGGTCTACAAGTATTACAGTGAGCGCAATTCCTGTTGCCACAGCTCAAACCTATGACACGGGACTTATAAGCCACCATCCGAGAGGCAGCTGTCCACTGCTCCTCCCAAGGGCAATGCTCTTTTCCTACTGCTTTGCCGAGCTAATGCCTAGGCATCCTTCAAAAGGCACCACGAACTGTCCCTTCAAGAGGCCTTTCTGAATGGCCACACCCTGGCCACACACATACCACCTCTGGGCTCCCTCTGCACCTGAGCGTACACCATTCTAGAACTTACCACACCTGACTGCTCCTGACACATCTGGCTCCTGGGCCTCATGGGGAACAGGCCACATTTTTTTTTTTAAATCTGTCAGCACCATTAGGTGCACTGCCATTGTTAGAGGAATGAATGCTACCTCTGCTGGGGGCAGAGTTCAGTTGGTACAGATAGGTGGTGCTCCACTGGGCATTACTTAGGAAGAATCAGAAATCAGATCAATTTCCTACTTTCTGAAATGGGCGTTTTGGATGGCCCTCTCTCCTCACACCAGTGTGCATCGGCAGGTAATCTACAACCTTTCCCAAGTTAATTACCCACCAACCGAAAATCCATCATTAACTACATCATTCAGTAAGCATTTGCTATCATCTGCATGTCGTGTCAGACACTGGGCTGAGTGCTGAGGACACAGATGATGGTTTTGCTCTCAAAGAACTCACAGCCAGTCTGGTGGGCAGATGGGTGCTTACCTGTAAGTGATGTCTCCATACTCCCCGGCCAAGGCCACTCGACTCGCTGGGACTAGCTCCTTGCTCATTGTTCTAAAAATGGCTTCGCTGGAGGAGCCAGCCTGAAACAAATCCACAATGAATCCAGGATTATACAGACCCAAGCGGAATGGCAAGTCCAACCCCTCCTTGTAATCCGGACCAGAACAGCTACTGCTTAGGACTGATTTTGACCTTTAAGATAAGCCCAGCCAGCGTGGCTCAGTGGTTGAGCGACCTATGAACCAGGAGGTCACGGTTTGATTCCTGGTCAGGGCATATGCCCAGGTTGCGGGCTTGATCCCTAGTGGGGACCTGCGGGAGGCAGTCAATTAATGATTCTCTCTGATCATTGGTGTTTTTATCTCCCTCTCCCTTCTTCTCTGAAATCAATAAAAATATGGGGTTTTTTTTTTTAGCTTTCTTTCCATTGATAAAGCTTCATTTTTGAAGTGTTGAAGCTGCTGCTCCCATTAAACTGTGGCAAGAAAGGAGACTAAGGTAATTACAAACTTAGTTCTATGTTTTATAAGCACTTTGTTTTGTCTCTGCAAGGAAATACCAGTCATTTCCCATGAAATAAGATGTTTCTACCAACATAATATGTTTTGACTGAAGCAGCATTATGTTTTGGGCAGTATTACAAAATAGCTGGCAAGTGCTTTCTGTATTTAAATATTGTAAAAAGAAAATCAGATGTAATTGTTAAAAAGCAGAACTTTCGTTGCATTTTTTAAAATGTGGAAGTCAATGTATGTTTGGTCAATGTTTCCGCAGTATTTATTAAAACATACCTTTTTTTCTCTCCTTGAAATAAAAAAGTAACCATGTCTTTGTTGAAAAAAATAAAAACATGTGTTTTTTTTTTGGGGGGGGGGGTGAAAAAAAAAAAGATAAGCCAACCTCTCGAAGTGGCAAGGTTAGTCCCTCCTGAGATAGGGCAGAGGTGTCATCCATGCCAACTCAGAGGATGTTCAGATGCCAGGGCAGGAAGAGAGATCAGGATGGTCAGGGCATGGGACCCTTCTTCCTGCCACAGATGCCTCTGGTAACAAGCAGACCTAGCCTCTCGGCTCCCTGCAGCAGACAGGTCAGAGCCTGACCAGCCCACTCTAGGAAAGGTTGTGCTGAATCACAGAACAGCTTTCCCATCTCCCAGTAAGAAACAAACAACCAACAATACCAAAGAGGAAGAAAATGACCTTATTCACCTCTTTTCACTATGAACAGCTCTCAGTACCCAAGAAACTTGAGCATCAAGAATATCCTGTAAGAATCAAGTCTTTTAGGTTTTCTGAATGCAAAAGCTCTCATGCCCCAACCAGTGGAAGTTTGAGGCTTCCACTGGATGTTTTATAGGCAAAGAGTTCAGATGCTTGTTAGCTATTAACCCAGCTTGGAAGGGCAACAGTCTAATAACCTTCCTTCCCCAAATCAAAATAAGAAACTGCACTTCAGGGTCCGGCATGAGCTCATGGCTGTTTTTCACCTTAGGCTTGAATGTATGCTCTGGGCAGGAGAAAGAACATCAGGTCTTGACGAATTTTCTAAGCCAGCCTATGCAATGGCAAGGTAAAGAAATTACTCTCAATAGACAGAAATCTTTGTTTTTGTGGGGGGAATAAACTCAATATCCCAACACCTGGAGTCCTCCCAGAATCGACAGCAGGGAGGTGATAAGAAGCCTCTGATCTGGAGGTAAGATGGAGGGTGAGGTTGGAGATAAGGAGTGTGGCTCCTCCTCTCCAGTGAGGCAGGTCTCGGGAAGGAGAAAAGATGGTGGTAACTGTAGTCCTGAAATGAACTAACTGATCAGCCAGGACTGCCAGGGGAGAAACCAATGGTTTAGGCACTTGTTACTCAAACTTTGTTTCACAACCAGCGGCACGGGTGTCACCTGGGAGCTTACTGAAAGGCAGAATCTCAGGCCCACCCCAGACCTGATCAGAATCTGTCAATCCCCAGGTGAGTCGTGGACATACTACGTTTTGAGACACACGGCTTCACACTCCTGTGTGAGAGGGTGAAGAAGCCCAACTACATAAGCACCTGGACTGTGGAGAATCTGTCTTTTCCTATCCACTTCCTGGGAAAAAGCATCATCAGGTCCCCTGAGATTGGTACTCTGAAGATGGAAGGCCCATTCTTACCCGGATGTTCCACATCATCTTGATGGCTAAGGGGAAAGCAGGGGGCTGTGGAGCTCGCGCCTCCTCCTCTCCTGGTGGGATGACATCTGGGACTCTCCCTGCAAGAAGCCGGATGCTCTTTGCCACCTCCAGGTTCCGGGGCAACACGGGCGTGGTGGCTTCATACACAGCAGCACTGCAGCCCTTGCCAATGAATTGCCCTATCAGATACTCCTCCAGCTGGAAGCCCTGCCAGCGTCTCGTGTCCAGTGGGTCAGGGAGCAGCTTGCTTTTCTGGGTAAAAACAGTCT